TGAGCAGAGGGCCAAAACTGCTGCAATGGCAGTAACCGAAATTGCAGGGTGGGAAAGAAAGCAAGCAAGGTCTTCCGCAAGATCCAGGCTAACTCTTCATGGCCATATTGTGATTGACTTCCATCATGGAAGATCTAATTTGGTCTGTTTAAATATATTGTTGCCTTTCTTTAATTTCTTTCCTGCTGATCATGTGCACAACCTCTTGAGAACTTACTAATTGCGCTGCTGCTACTGAGTGGGAAATCATGGTAATTCATGTGTTTCTGTACCATTGCCTGAAAGAATGACTTCTGTTTCTTGTGTATTGCAGAATTCTTTGTAGACCTGGACTCAGTGATGGGACCCTTAACACAACACAGCAGTATGACCAATCTGGTTCGTTACGTTCGCCAAGGACTCCACTGGCTCCGTATTGAGGCTCATTTGTTGTAGTGACTGCTGCCCTGTTCATAACATCCCCATTCTTCTACCTCTACCAGCGCAGAGACGATCACTGGTGGAACTCCACTCATTTCTGGAAGTTTATTCATGTAACTTCATTTTTATTGCCTTTTTTAATATCCTATCTATTGGAAGTAGAAGTCACCATAAATGGAACTTATGACTCAAAAGCAGTATGTGTTGTACCATCTAATCATTTTTGACAATTTTTTATGCCTTGTGTCTCCTGGATCCTGCCATCCTTATGTGCTTTATGGAACGGTACATTCCCTGCAGTATTGTTTTAAGTCCATGCTGCCTTCAAGTGAAAACAAAAAAGCACTTTGAGAAGATATGGATTCCTGAGAAATAGTACAAAGCGTCTTAAATATTTGAGGGTATATATGAGAAGCCCCTTCTGAAATAAATTAGTAGAAGTTATAGCTATTCATTCAAAATCATCTTCTGAACCTGAACCAAGCTTTTCGACGCTTAATTCTGGCATCATTACATGACACAGTACATTCCTAAGATTTCATACTTTCTATAGGCTTAATCTCTAAAAGAGAACATTGAATATCTTACAGGTACATAACGTAAGATCACCAAAGGTGTTAAGAGGTAAAAGGTTGAAGGAATGCCTCATTAAAGAATGATGACACACTATGCAATGAGGTTTTGATATTCCATTCTTCCTGTTTATTGTTGGCTTAATAATTTCAGTAGGCAGCAGAATTTATTGCAGTTTTTAGGCAGTTTCAAAATATTAGCTTTCATAGTCTTATCTACCATTCCTATACTAAATCTGTGAATTTTCTTTCAGTTTTACTGTTTAGTCTCAAACAAATACTCATCCAAGATTTTTCTTCATAGAACAATCTCTCCTTGCATAGTGACTCAGTGAAAGCAGATTTTAACAAGACCGCTACACTCTAAGCATTGATATTGTATGTAAAAGTCCATTAATAAGTGTATGCAGATTCTTCATGAAACTCTCTAGAAGTTTAACTAACCAGCTACTGTTGAAACATTATAATTCCATGTGGCATCAATTTTCACCTGTTTTGTTCATTTCAGAACGTTAGAAACGAACAGTATTATGCTATCTTGAAAACAATGTCAAATTAAATAAAATCACCAGATTTACCCAAAAGCAATATAACATTTGTTTAATAATGGCCATGAATACTTCAGTCAGATTACCTATTTTCCAAGCTCTGCACCTGTTTACCCATGCTGTCATGTTTTGGACCATTCCTCTAATGTGTGAATAATAATGAGACAACTCAGATAGAATTTCAAAGCAATTGTGAATAAATTACACCATTTCACATTTGCTATTTCCTCTTCTTTTTCTCCCATGATTT